TGAAGTGGGTTCAAGAAGGGACAAAACTGTAAACTAGTAAGACTGCAGGTACAGTTGCTTAGATAGTACTGATCCGATGGAAAATCACAAGGTGGGCAAAACTAGGATCAGCCAATAAGATTACAAGTGCAGTTGCTTAGGGAACATGGGGTAGATGGGGATCCAGTGCAGAAGCAAGTCACATAGCAGGTGTACAAGGATTCTCAGTCAGGGACCTTTCCTGGAAGGGGTGGGTGAGAGCTTGGTTCCCCACCCGGGTGACTGATGCCTGTTTAGAGTATCAGTTACTGCTATTCATCCTGCGGGGAGCCAGAGCACATGGGTGTAATGGTTTCTCTCCTTTCACAATGCTGGCCTTCGTTGAGCATTTCTTGACTGTCCTCCACGCTGGCTCCCTGTCTAACTGCCTACAGGATATCTAAGGAATCTTCCCATCCACAGTAGTAGGAGAGTTAGGGCTGGAGACTACACCTCTTGGTAGTTCGCTGTAGTGCAGTTATAAACAGAGGAGCTCAGCCACTCCCTTCCCTACCTAAACTCAGGCAGAGAGGGAGAGAGAGAGAGAGAGAGAGAGAGGCGCCTGCGTCAGAACTGTCTGACCCTATCAGTACCAAAAGCCTGAGTTATCTTGTCTCTTTTCCCCACTGCACCCTTCTACCTGTCCCTGTGGTATCATCATGCAATCTTCAATAAATGCAGTGACTTAGCACACTTGGCAATTCTTTCCTTGCCATTTACAGGAACCTGGACTATTTTTGGCCTATGCAACAGTAACACCTGATTGCCTGGAAACTTCAGAGAGTTTCTCCAAGTGATTTTTGTGCATCACCTGCACACAACCCACCTGGGCATCACCGATATTTAAGATCCAGGTGGGAGCCCCAGGACCCTTCCTTGGGAGAACGGGGAAGCCTTCTGGCTGTGAGATATCGCTTTCCCACCTGGCTGTCCTGCTCTTGCCAGTCCTAGCCTCTCATTCTGGCATCCTAACGCCCTCACCCTCACCTGCATTGCTACAAAGATGGTTCCACAGTAAGCTCTCTAGCTTACCTTTAAACCTGACTGCATTCTGCCTACATTTCCTTCACCTCAACTCCCTTGCTCCAAGTTACACAGGCATTTTCAGTTGTATCCTGTTTAATTAATGGAGATGTTTTGAGCACACACACAGGCTAAAAGTAGTTTCCAAGATACATCGTGCCAGTGTTCTTCTCAGGATGCTCACAGACAGAACTGCTGTAGGGCCAGGGGAGTTAGAGCTATAGAGATGCATCAAGCTCTGAATTAAATAGAGTCGTCTATTATCAGAAGCCAGATTTCCAGGGTGGCCACTTCAGAAAGAAAAGCAGCTTGTGGGGTCCTTTTAAGGGCTCTTCTGTTTGGGAGGGCTCAGGGAGAGGGGAAGCACAAGCAGAATTTCACAGGAGCAGAGGACGGGTCACACCGTTTACTTAAAATTAAATATCACACAGGTGCAGGGTCTTCTGTTTACAAGGCGGTAAAGATAACATAGCTGCAAACTCACACGGGATGCAGCTGTCTGTCATGCATTAGCTGAGGGAGCTCAGGAAGGGGAAGGTGACCACCCAGAATTAGTCCCCTGTGCACAAATGGAGTCAGGTTGCCCATCACAGTGTCTGTAAAAGAACTTTCATGTAGGTCAGCAGAGAAAAGGTTGCAATACAGGTAAAATGCAGATCATGGGAATATGTAGGAGCTGAAAATGTTTCCTTTAGGAGGAGATGAAAAAATATAATTTGGAGCAGGGACTTGAATAGGGGACCAGGCCCCGTGAGTGATTAGCCCAAGCCCCTCAGTTCAATCCTAGCACCAAAACAAACACGAATACATAGAAATAAAAGATCCTGGTTAGTGTTTTTCAGATGGAGAACTGAGGTGTTAGTGTAAGCCCAACACCTTCAGCTATTGGAGCGTAGCTTGTCTGAATCTACCGGTAGGGCCGGGGATTTAGCTCAGTGGTTCTGCCGCCTGCCTTACAAGCACAAGGACCTGAGTTTGATCCCCAATACAAAAAAAAAAAGAAAAGGAAAAAAAAAAACATAAATCCACCCATAGACATAGACATCTGGTTTTCATTCTACCCCTTCTATAAAATGGGATGTTTCTGTGTTAAAGTAATGGGATGAACTAGCTGCCCTCTCCACTTGGCCAACTTGTAAATAAACTTGTTTTCTGTGCTTTTCCTTTTTTCTTGGTCACAGTCAGGTGAACAAACCCAGAAATCCAGAGAGCTGGAGCGTGGAGTCAGGCCTACCTGGGCCCCACCAGTTACATCGGGAGTGACAGTAGCCATTTTTAAGGATTATGCTGAAGGACATATGTCATGTGCATACAATAGCAGATGGTCCAGATGTGTAACAAGGAGAAAGTCATATCAACTATTCGATGCTTTGTTGACTGTTAGGAAAAGAAGAAAACTTGGGTGGTGTCCAGTGCAGGTCTGAGGGCCCCTGAGGCTGAAATAAAGAGGTTAACCCACCCTTTTTTATTTTGCGGCTGACTCTCATTGTGGAAAAAGTTTGCAGTAAGAGGCAAGAGAAGGGTTTGTTGATATATGTGATGCACTCAGAGCAGGTGCTCAGAGAAACAAGGTGCTCTGCAGTTGTGAGCTGAGGATCTTGATGTGTTTGGGGTGGTGGAAATCTGGGGTATTTAATAATCTACAGTCATGGTCTTATCTGGTGGGTGAGAAGATGGCCCACCCCTAGTGAGATAATGGTCCATTCCCACAGGAAGTCTTTTTTTATACACTGGAAATTTTTAAAGGCGGTGTATTCCCAGGTGAATCTAGATCATTTACAATCAAGCAATGGGAAAACCCATTTGTAGGAGGAAAAGTAACTGCCCAGGTTTATTGTGTTCTGAGAGAAGAGAAAGAAAGAAAAAGAAAAAACAACCAGGCTTATATCCTGAAGCTGCAGTTTTCCTTAAAAGTACAGTTAGTAAAATCTCAATTTCTAATTCTCCTTTCTATCTACATAGTTTGCGTTTCTTCTATCCTGCCTCAGGTGGGAGTTAAGAGTAGAACATGGAGTCCAGATGAACTTACTGACAGACTGAGACAGAGCCTGAAGAAGGAGGAGTTTGAGAACTTATCGTGTAACCCAGGCTGGCCTCCAACTCGAATTTGCATCTAGGCTCCTGCCTCTGGGATTTCAGGCATGCACCGCCACACCTTGTGAAAACAGGGAAACCTGAGAGCACACAGGTGATGGTATCTAAGGGGTAAACGGGGGAGGACTTCAGCTTTCACAGCAAAGAATAACTGAAGCAGGAAACATCTACACATGGGGCAAAGCAGGTGGAAAGAAACTAAGGCGAACAGTCACCATAGCAGAGACCAAATTATATAGCCAACTTGGAAAGGAAACTGATTGGGTCAGAGAATAAGACATTTTGGTGAAGAATTGAGGGAAATTATTTAAATTGTCTCTCTTTTGGCGGGGGGGTACCAGGGATCAAACTCAGGTCCTTGTGCTTTCAAGGCAGGTGGCAGAACTACTGAGCTAAATCCCTGGTTTAAATTGTCTCTTTAAAGCATATTTATTCCCACCTGCCTAATAATCTTAAACCTGAAATGTAAGGAAGCCAAAAACAGTGCCACGTGCTTGTGATCCCAGCACTCTGGGAGTTTGAGGCAGGGGGATTGGAAATTTGACCCAAGCCTGGGCAAATTAGCACCATTTTGTCTCAAAATAAAAAAGAGCTATTGATGTTACTGGGTTTGGGAATGCTAGTTTCCTTCTGGAGGTGTTTTCTAGGTTCTTTCTGTTCTGAGCAAAAAATTGGTCAAGACAAGCACAAATGATAGCAAAGTTTTATTAAAAGTAAGAAAACAGGTTGTGCACAGCAATTTGGGGCCAAGTAAAAGCAAGAAAAGAAATATAGTCTACAGCATGAGGATAGGCCACCATGCAAGAGACAGCACAGTGGCCAAAACTCCAGTGGACTGTCCTGTTCGTATCACCCTCTCCTCAGGCTGACACTGGGTCTAGGTTGTCCAGTGGAAAACCCACTCAAGTTTTCACTAGAAGTCCATGTGCAGGGCTTTGGGAATTGTTCTGTCCATATGTTTTGGGACTTTGTAATTAACAAATCAAACCTACTTCCCCAGTCAGTTCTACCACGTCCTAATCTCCTCCCTCAGGGATGTAACTCAGTTCAAAGGCCTTGAGAGTTCAACCCCCAGTTGTGTTACCATATGTACCAAGTTCATGGTTCCTCAAATATCCAGGAAGTCATTGTAGGAGGCTGCTGTGAGATATGTTAAAGCCCAGACCACTGAAGGCATCTGAGGGCACCTGAGGACATAATTCCTGCATTTAGCTTTGTTATGTAATAAAATCAGCATAGACAACCAGACATGTGCCACATGGCCTGCAATGTTGCCTAGAATGATCTGTCTTACAGTGTCTTAGTAAAATGACCATAATTATTTTGTTGGAAAATAAAGCTGTTCCTACTTTTGTAATGTCTGATACATGTGTGTTCTTTTCTTTGGGAGCCTCCCCTAACCCAGCCTCCCTTCAAGCCACCAGCCCAGACAGTTGTGAACCAAAAGATGTGAGGAGAGTTTTATTGGAAGTAAGAAAAGTGGATCCAGGATTTCCGGAGGGCGTCCTGGGTCCTCAGGCCACAGGGCCACTCAAACTAGAGCGAATTATAGATAAGCAGAACACAGGAAGAGCTCAGTAGCCTAGTGGCCACCTATCACAGGTGGCTCTCTATATAAAATGACCAGTTGTAACTCAGCTTCTAATCCAGTTCTTCAACATACAAGATTTAAAATAAACTTAGTAGGGAGTGGGCTGCATCCCTATAAACCCAGGGAGATTGTTGCATTTAAGTCTCTCAGACCTCACGAGGGGAAAGGCGGTGTCTGCCTGCAGTGAAGGGGGGCTGCAGCCATTCTTATCCCCGGAACGTTCTTCCTCAGCCCGGCCGGTTCCCGGGCGGACGCCGCGCAGTCCCCCTGCTGCTCTTCCGGTTTCCCCGTCGGGCTTCCGGGGCTGCCCGAGCCGTGGTGCAGACATGTCCGGCTTCAGCCCCGAACTCATCGACTACCTGGAAGGGAAGATATCCTTCGAGGAGTTCGAGCGGCGGAGAGAAGAGCGGAAGACGCGGGAGAAGAAGGTGGGGAGCCGGCCGGGCCGCCCGGGTTTTGTGCCCGGGTCCCGTTGGCGTCGGGCGAGCCGAGCGCTGGCTGCGGGCTGGGTCGGACTCTGGGGACAGCGCCCTCCCGGGTCGCCCGGAGCTGTGGCCCAGCTGTTTAGCTCCGTATCGTCTCCCTAACGCAGTGCAGAGACGTATTCAAGCCTTGGGAAACAAAAAGAATCGAAGCTTTTGAAGTTGGTGGTTACTTAAATCATGCGATTTTAAGTCTTAATTAGGGTTTTTTTTTAAAATTGAGTTTTAACATGATTTAGATGGAAGAATAAGACCTAAGTGAAGTGCTTTGAAATACTTTGACCGAATTCAGGTTTAGGTTCTACACACTATGCTTGTGTAGGCTCAGGTTTTATAAACGGAAAAGTAAATCAAATGCCTTCTGCACTGGGCAGGGCTAAACCTTCATTCGATTTTGGAATAAATTAAATTTTCAATCACAGAGTCTTCAGGAGGAAGGGAAGTTATCAGCTGAAGAAAATCCAGATGACTCTGAAGCCCCATCATCCTCAGGGATTAGCTCTACCAGGTCCCATGTCAGAGAGATCAGTGAAGGTAGGTGGAGACGGTTGGCCACCTGCCTTGAATGTTAGAAGTACCCAGGTACGTGCCCAGTTCTTTTTTAAAGTTTGAGACAGGGTCTCAAATAGTTGCCGGGGTTGGCCACAAACTCGTGGTCCTCCTACCTCAGCCTCCCAAGTGGCTGGGATTGCAGGCCTGTGCAGCATGCCTGGGTCAGTAAGTACACGTCGAGTCAATGGATTTTGTGTCCCAGTGTTGGAAGGTATTTCGGATCACATCAGTGTTTTTAGGGGCCCTTTTATATTTAACAAGTTAGCTGTTTTGTGTCCTTGGGATTGCATTCAGGGAGCGCAGAGCTACATCTCTTGTCCTTTTCTTTTGGGATAGAGTCTTCCTCCATTGCCCAGGCAGGCGGGGAGATCACCTTCCTGTCCCAGCTGGGGCCTTCCTAGAGCTGTATTTTTTAAAATTGACCCGCTCAGTTGGTGACTACTTCTACCTCCAGCCCCCCCCGCCCATTTTGTAACCAGTTACAGTTTTGTACAAAGTGGCTTCCACACGTGTCAGACAAGGGTCTGGCCAGTTGGCTGCATAATGAGACTCAGTAGTCACCCTCAATTCTTCACAAAATTGTCCCTTTATCTATATGTGTGTGTGGATATATATATATATATATATATGTATTTTTTTGTTTTGTTTTGTTTGAGACAGGGTCTCACTTTTTATTACAGGCTGGCCTTGGAGTCACTGTGTAGCCCGAGATGGCTTCAAACTCACGGTGATCCTCTTGCCTCAGCCTTCTGAGTGCTGGGATTACAGGCATGCAGCATCATTCCCGGCTGTCATATTTTAGGCAATTTTTAGCTTTGCAACTCCATATACTGGTTAGTGCACCCAAACTAATTAAATTGATTGGAGTCTGATGTTGACCTTGATATGTAAATGATTAATTTCCAGTGATTGGTTCTGAATGTTGAATTCAGTTCTAATGACCAGAATGCTGATGATAGCTTTTAGTGTCAATTTCCCTGAGTGGAGTTAGCTGGGGTTCTGAGCTGTCAGTTAGATTGTAGCTTTGTGTGCGGGGTCTCCTTGAGAACTAAGCTATGCTGGTGTGGGGAGGCAGGAGGAGAGACTGGCTCTTTTCTGTGGACACAGGAGCCATAATACAAGGGCACACACTCAGAAAACAAGGCTCATTCTTACCTCCGTGGCCCATGTGGGAGACAAGGGGCAGAGAGGAGAGAAGAGCAGCATCACAGTGTTTGCTTTGCTGGGCAAGTGGGGCAGGAAAGGGGCTGAAGTTGCCCTGACAACCTGTGGGCCTTTTGGTGTGTGCTGGGGGAGTCGGGAGGGAAGCTGCTCTCCACAGGGGTCTGGAGTTGCAGTGACAGCTGCTCCTGCTGCCTGCAGCTGACCCAAGCAGCCTTCAGATTCTCCCTAGAAGAAAGGGCTCAGCTGAGATCGCCATGGTGCGCTGCAGGCACCCAGCCGGCTGACTTCTGCCGGGATCAGGCCCTCAGCCCTGGAGACACAGAGCCCCTCTTCCTAGAAGGAATTGCCCCAGACACTTGGTGAGTGAGAACATGTGTTCAGCGCAGGAGAAGGGGATGGTTTAGAACAAGCTCTGGCAAAGTCTCATTGGAATTTGTGCTCTCCAGGATGGTGTTTCTTCCTCTTGCACCCTATACACATAGGGTCTTTTAATTTCATTTTAAATTTGTTCTTGTTGGCATGTAAAATAGTTTTTGCTCTTTGGTGGTACTGGTGGTTGCACCCAGGGCCTTTGCACTGAGCTCCATCACCTCTCCCTACCCTTTAAAATTCTTTTGAGAGGGATGGAGATTTGGCTTAGTGGTTCCACTGCCTGCCTCGGAAGTGCAAGTGCCCAGGTTTGATTCCCAGTACCAAAAAAACAATTGTTTTGAGACAGGGTCTTGCTGAGTCACTAAGTACTCAGCTGCAGTTAATTTTTGTGTACTGACCTGTGCTTAATTCATGTATCCTGAGTTTGTATGTAGATCTTTTCAGATCTTTTACATATATAATCATGTCGTGTGAGCAATGATAATTTTATTTTTCCCATGCTATCTTTATGCCTTTTAGTTTATAGCATTGTCTAGGACCTCCTGGAAAATGTAAAATGGAAATGGGAATAGCAAAAATCTTTGTGTCATCCCCCTAACTTTCAGAATTCAAGACAACGCTCCTGGAAAGTTTTTATTAAAGTGAAGATATTCCTTTTCATTTCTAGTTGACTAAGAATTATCAGGAATGAATGTTGATTTTAACAAGTCTTGTTTGTGTGAAGATGATCGTAAGATTTTCTTTTCTTTTTGTTCCTGTGATAAATTTTGCCCACTTTATTTTTCATGTTCATAATTCTCAAATATAATTCACAGAACTCCCTCTTGCTGAGAACATGTGGCTTTTTAAAAATTGCTGCTTTGGTGTTTGAAGTATTTCACAAAGGGGAAATAAGCATAAGGTTTTTGAAGACAAATGTGCACGTACAGTAATTTTCAACTATTATAACTTTTCTGAAACATTTTATATGTTTCTGTTTTAAATGGAAAGTAGCTTCTTTTTTTTTTTTTTGTACGTACAGTAATTTTCAACTATTATAACTTTTCTGAAACATTTTATATGTTTCTGTTTTAAATGGAAAGTAGCTTTTTTTTTTTTTTTTTGAGGCAGGGTCTGAACTCACTGTGTAGCCCAGGCTGGCCTGAGTTCATGGTGATCTCCTACCACAGCCTCCGGAGAGCTGGAATTACAGGTGTGTGCCACCACACCCAGCTGAAAACTAGCTTCTGAATTAACCTATTCTATTTTTCTGTGGGATGTACTGGAGATTGAATTCAGGTCCTTGGGCTTTCGAGGCAAGCAGCAGAACCACTAAACTAAATCCCGCCCCTGAATTAGCCTATTCTTGATCATTCAAGGACATCATCCAGAACGTACAAAAATCCTGTGGTGGAATCCTGACTTGCAAATGAAGCACGTGACATTTTAATCCTATTTGAGTGTTAATAGTGGCACTCAGTGTGCCCACCCTGTGCTGGGCTATTCTGAGCACATCACCCAGTTCCAATACCTGCAGCTGATGCTTTGGTAACATTTGAAGCCAGGTGCCTTGCTATCCGGCCCTCAGCTGTCCACACCCTACGGAGTGGGTTCTGACCTGCAGCCTTGGTTGGTCCTGAGGTCTGTGTCACAGTGCAAACTGGAAAGTCCTTTTTCCTTTAGACCACTGAGTGATCGAAAGCCTTTTATTGTTCCTGCCTCACTCTCTCTTAGGAGAAACTTCGGATGGGGTGAGCAAGTCGGTTCAGAAGGTCTTTGACTCCATGCTTGGAGAGACTGAAGATGATGAGGAGGAAGAGGAGGAGGAGGAGGAAGGGGAGGAGACCCCTGAGCAGCCCACTGCGGGCGAGGTGTTTGCCCTGGAGCTGGTTCTCAACCGTGAAACCAAGAAAATGATGAAAGTAAATCCTTACTTACTTTACTGTTTGTGTAAGGAAGTGACATTGTCATTGAAAAAGAAAAATCTAAAGTCCACCTGGGAAACATTCAAACAAGAAAAGAAATACTATGAGAAAGTAGCTGTCATTTTTTCCTGTTTCCTTTGGGGAATTTTTATGTCAAATGTATAGGTCAAAATGAGGTCATTTTATTTTGAAAAGGTCTGTAATATATCTCAATTATTTCTAACAAGTTCGTTTTGAGTGGTAAATTTGAAAAGGTCTTTAGTAGAATATATCATAATAAGTTGGCATGTAAATTCATTTTCTAGCATAATAATTTTATTCCAGTTAGTAGCTTAGCAGTTTCCTAACTACTTTGATATTTGCTTTCCATAAATATTTTCCTATGTTTTGAACTTTCTACTTTAGGAAGTTTTGTTTGTGCTTTTATTTGCCTAGGCTTTTATTTGCTTTTGGGAAAATTTCATAGCATAATTTCATAGAATAATTCTGTTCTTTCCTGCAGTTGACTTTTTCTTGCATTGTAAACTTTAAGGACTCAGGATTGTGACCATTTAGTCTCTGCTTCTGAGTTAGAAGATGAAAAGCTTTAAAAGAAGTTTCAGTTTCATTATGTTCTGTATTTATTCATGTAGTTGGGATGGAGCCTTAAACTTTACTGTGTTTTAATCCAGTCATCATTTTTCTCCCGTGCAGGAGAAGAGGCCTCGGAGCAAACTCCCCAGGGCGCTGAGAGGTCTCATGGGCGAAGCCAACATCCGCTTCGCGAGGGGGAAGCGAGAAGAGGCCATCTTGATGTGTATGGAGATCATCCGGCAAGGTGCTTGCCCCGGGGCTGTGCGGCCTCTGAGGCGAGCAGCTGAGGGACTGGCTGGGAAGCAGAGGGAAGCGCCGCTCGCAGTGTCTGAAATAAATTTGGAAACTTGGCGGGAGGTCACGGTTTGTGCTGACAATGGGGTAGGAGTGCTGAACTGGGCGGTGAAGTACCACAGAATATTATTGAATGAAGTAGCATTAGTATTTGTTGAATTCTTTTTGGCTCTCTTTTTTTGGTTTGTGTGTTTAAATTTTTTTACTTTAAGAGTTTAGATGTTGTACTGTTTTGGGGTTTTTTTAGACTTTTGTACTGTTACGCATTTTATTTACTTTTGTGGTGCTGGGGCTCAAACTCAGCATCTCATGTGGAAGCAAGCATTGTACTAGTGATCTGAATGGCCGGCCAGGCATGTTAATTTTCTTACCACACAGACACATGCTAAAACCACTTAGTCTTCCATTTGCAAGATCAGGCCATGCTAAGTTGTTTTTGTTTTGTTTTGTTTTTTGGGGGTATTTTTTTGAGACAGGGTCTCACTATGTAGTTAAGACTGACCTGGAACTCACTGTGTAGCTCAGGCTGGTCTCGAACTCAGTGATCCTCCTGGCTTAGCCTCCCGAGTGCTGGGATTACAGGTATGTGCCACCATGCCCAGCATGCTAAATTATTTTAATCCCTCTTTTTTTTTTTTTTTTTTT